AAAAAAAACAAAGAAAAGAAGGAGAAGGAAGCCTGGGGCCCTAGCCATAGAAATGAAGGGACATCGTGATCTTAAAATCTTCAAAAGGGGCATATTTTGTCATTTTTCAGCAAGGAAAGCATTTTGCTTATTAAGTTTTTAAAAGGGGCTCTAAGTATCATTTTCTCTTATTTTAGATTTGCGAGGCCCAATAACGTGCAGGCCAATTTTCTTTCTTTTATTCCATAATATTTTAATCCATAGCAATGGTAATGTGTCTTAGCTAAGTGACTCTTGTAGATCCCAAAGAATAGAATGCTAAGTTATATTTATTGACTTGCTAATAATAGCTAAAATCATACACTTCCACCAAAACCATACTGTTATGCCTCAATAATATCAAACTTAGAAAAAAGAATCATAGGCGCACGTTAGTTGCTTTAGACGCGACATAAATTAATCATCATGGTTATGAGTACGGTTTTCGTGACATAGCTATGACACACAAATCCAAATTCAGGTATGCATTTACGCGACTTGACCAATTAACTTCAAATAATAAAAGTGTCATTAACCGTGGATTTTTGACACACAACACAACAAGGGTACGGTTCGCGCAACTTATTCAAAATAAATTTCATAATTCCTAAACAAGCAAATAAAAGCGTTTTAAAAGCGGAAAATGCGTAAAATCCCTTAAAACATAGAATATCCGGGATTAATTAAGTTAAGTATAAATTGTTAAGCGACCGTGCTAAAATTACGAAACTCGAGGAGTGCCTTGCACCTTCTCTCCGGTTAACAGAATTTCTTACCCTGTCTTTTGTATTTGCGGACCATATTTGGAGTCAAAATTTTCGTTGATTAGAGATTAAATAAATAATGACTTTGGAACACCGAAATTAAATAATTTCAAGTGACGACTCCTTTAAAATAATAAAAATTAATTCCTGTTAAAAGAAGATTAGCACAATATAAAAATGCTTCTATCTCTGTTAAAGGCCAGGTATCTGACTATATCGTCAATGGTCGTTGGGATACATTTAAGCTTAATCAGGTTCTACCTAATAATATTGTTTTCCATATTCATGGAATTACAATTGAATCTCCTCATCTGCAAGATAAACCTATTTGGTCTGCTAACACAGATGGAAAATTCACTTGTAAATCTGCTTGGAATTGTATTAGGAGCATCATGTTCTACTTTAGTTTATAAAATGATCCGGCTTAAGAAGAATCCCTTTAAAATCTCCTTCTTTCTCTGGAGGCTGCTGAAACATAGAGTAGCTGTTGATCAAAATATGGGAAGATTTGGTATTCCCATATCATCACCAAGAAGATGATGAACATTTGTTTCTTAACAGTATGGTTAGCCAAAGGGTATGGAAATATTTTAACCAGGCCTTTGAGATTCGTCAACAACATCACTGTATGAGGCAACTGATTATTACTTGGTGGATGACTAAAGAAAAAAATGATGTTCAGAAGATGGCTCTACAAATCCTCCCCGGTATCATTATTTGGAATATTTGAAAAGCTAGATGCAAGAGCAGGTTTGACAATGTAAGTATGCAGTCTCACAGAATTATTCCCCAAATTTGCGATCAACTTATCATTATATCTCACAAATAATTTCCAAAGATTCCACCTCTTTTAAATTGGAAGACTTTTCAAGAGATCATAGAAATGGCTAGAGATCATGTTACTTATGTGGCTGTCAAATGGAACTTTTCTCAAACTGGATTCATGAAACTCAACTCTGATGGGTACTCCAAAAGTAATCCGGATCCTAGTGCAGGAGGTGGTATTATCAGAAATGATAGAGGACATCTAGTGAAAGCTTATGCTATTCTTTTTGGCAACATGACCAATAATAAAGCTGAAGCTATGGCCCTCCAATTTGGAATTCAATGGTGTAATGTGGCTGGCATAAAAAATCTAGAAATTGAGTGTGATTCTAAGCTACTTACTGACTGGATTTCCAAGATCAGTGATCCTCCTTGAAATATTTTGGATACTATCAAAGACATACAATGGTTTCTTTCACATATGGAGAGTTGGTCTATCACACACTGCTATGCTATAGAGAAGGAAACAAAGTGGCAGATATTTTGGCTAACTATGATCTTGAATGCTCTGAATATACTTTCTTTTCTGAGTCTCGAAATATGCCTAGAGAGGCTAGAGGAGAGCTACACATGGATAGAATTCAATATCCTTCATTCAGGAGGAAAACTCATAAAAGCTCCTTCTCGATAGATAAAAACTAGTATAGAATCTATAATTTTGATGTCCCTTAGTGGGTGTGCATATTGTGTAGAAGAGGTTCTCTGTAAACCTCAGAGTGTTTTGATTTTTTTGAGAGTTTACTTGAAATCCTACTTGACATATAGAATGGGGCTTGTTCCATTCTTAGTAGGTGCAGAGAGCTTATATGATTCTTCTGTTATGTATTTACTATAATTATTAATAAAACTATTCCACTCTCTATGAGGGAGTTGGAGAGCACATTAAAAAAAAAAAAAAAAATCCCTTTTTCAAATAATGTCACTTTAATTGAAAAAATATCTTTTCGCAATTTCCGGAAAAAAAAGGAGGTGTGACATGTAATACACATGCTATTGCACTTGAATTGATCCAACATGATTTGCTGCAGTAGTTTTGACAGTAGGAAATACAGCAGGTCTTAAAGCTAACATTGAACCAGGTATTACAGCAGACACTTCAATATTTGGATTTACTCCAGAAGTCAGTGAAGCAGCATTCATTTATATACTTATTTCAACTCTTGCAACTTGAACTACATTTGATTTAACAGCAGCAATCATTTTAGCATTTGGCCTCAATTTCTCTTGAAAATTTTGTTTAACACCAGGTGGCTGTGGATTGTTTAACTTATGAGGTGTCTTTCCTATATTGTGATTGGACTCAGTAGCTACAATGTAAATTCCAAAACCATTACTATTTCCATTTCTTCTAGCACCAGCAGAGTCAGATGTCTTATATACATAATAATCGCACAAAAATCTAAGACACAATTAAAACAAATAAGAATAACGTACTGAAAGCTAAATTGCACAAGAAATATACATTACCACCTACATATCTTCTATGACTCCAAAGAATTGTCTTTTTTCTTGACCTCAAAAAACAGATGATTAACGAGTGAGCCTCGCCAATGTTGAAATGCTAAGATGGGTAATACAGCTAGTACAAACCCTACATAGAACACCATATAGTTGTCCTTGAACACAAAATAGAGCGCACAACCAAAGCTTAGCATCATTGCTTCTATTGAGGCGTACAAGGTGAGAAGTCCCCATAACAGACGCTTTGGCAAAACACGGAGAAAATCTTCTTCTGCATAACTAGAAGTTAAAATAGAAACGAACGCGAACAGAGAAATGCAGGCAGTGGAGAGTGATACTGTATTGGAGAACGCGAATGCGCTGAAGAATCCGTTTCTTGAGAAAATTGGAAGACCGTTTTCGCAGTTTCTGCCACCGGGAACTGTAATTGTTGCACCAAATGCAATGGCAACTGTGAGCATTGCTATAATTGCACATGAACTTGCCGTCTCTTTCATCCATTTTTCTCCTTCTATTTTTAAATTTGCATGTTGCACTGTAAATACTTGATGAGCCGTTTTACCCTTATTGTTTAAACGCTCATAATAAGGAGGAGGTAACATCTCCTTCACTACCTACAATACATGTAGAAATTCATATGTTAGCCAAAATTTGCATCCCCTTTGTAAATATAGTGTTTAAACAATTAAAATATAATAGTAACATAATATAATACTCCCACTCCCAAATTATGTGTAACATTTTCTTTTCCAAGATTCAAACATTGTAAAGTTTGACCAATATTTAAAATGTAATATTTCATCATATTGACATGAGAAATAATACTTTTCATACAGTTTTTGAATATATAAATTTTAATTTTAAAATATTGAGTTGATTTAATACAATTTAACTTTCGAAAAACGAAAAGTGACACTTATTTAGGATGGAGGGAGTAATCGTTACCAATGAGAAAATGAATTACCTCAAACCACCGCAATTCTTCTTGCATTCGAAGAGCTGCGCCAAAAGTATGATTTACTTTGTTTTTAGGTGGCAATTTACCAGCCAAATGCAACATTGTATTATTGAATGAATCCACTGAAGTTATGAGCTGATGTCTATGCTGACTCATTTGACAGATCAAGTTAAAGACATTTGTGCAGCGATTTTCTACTGCAATGTGAAGTATATTCTTCCCATTTTTGTTGCTATGATAAACCAGTAAAGGAAATTTCCCCACAAAAATTTCAACAAGCTTGTAATTGTCGAAATGCACGGCTTGAAGGAGAGGGCCGCCAACAATGGAGATGATCTCTTTCTCGCTTAAACCTTTTAACTTCTCACAAAGGAATTCCGCTAATTTTATTGCATTTTGGTATTCCAATTCAGGTGCTGCAATGCAAGAATAGACATAATAATTTGAGGGACTAGAAAGTAAAAGAATTTACTTTAGGGGCCAAAATGCAAACTTATGTTCCAAGTCTAATTATAGTAACTAGTTATCCTTTGACCATAAAGTACGTGGTACGATGAATTCTCGAGTCTGGAACTAAAATGACGGAAAAATTATAGAAAGCAATCAAAGTAATGTGCGGGAAAAAAAAAATTCAAAATTGGTATAGCTCATGAATTTCAAAATATTTTTCTGTACCGCAAAATATCTTCTAAATGTTATTTTTATTGGCTAAAATTTTATTGAATTAAAGAGGTAAAATATATAGAGAGTCAGATATGGAGTATACTATAAGACGTACAGTTGGTCTTTGGCTTATCCAATAGTGCTTCGTTGACTGCATTCTCGATATTACTGGCATTTGCTCTTTCTTGGAAAATCCATGATGTAGCGCTGATCACTATATCTTTTTCGGGTAATCAAAATAAAAAAAGAACTTGGTTAAGTAAGGGTGTGTTTAGTACGAAGGAAAATGAGTGATTTTATCATAACTCTATTTTCTTCTAACAATTTAATTATTCTTACAAACCTAAAGGAACTAATGTGTTGCTTTAACTTTTTACGCAAAACAACGTTAAAATTTATGTTTCATAACTATAAAGAAAATACTTTTTTTTTGGTTGAAAANTCAGGACTTTATTTTTTTCAACAATTTAATTATTCTTCTAAAATTTCACACAAATACTCAATAAATATAAAGAAATACTCTTTTTTGGTTGAAAAAGAAAGTACTCTTTCTACAACATGAAAATAAAGTAATTATTTTATTGAAATAAAAGAAAATACCTTTTCTACATCACGAAAAAAAATACTAATTTTATTGAAATGAAAAAAATAATTTTTGTACATCATGAAAAGAAAATATNAAGAAAGTACTCTTTCTACAACATGAAAATAAAGTAATTATTTTATTGAAATAAAAGAAAATACTTTTTCTGCATCATGAAAAGAAAATACTCATTCTGTTAAAATGAAAGAAAATATTTTTTCTATATCATGAAAAGAAAGTACTTTTTTGTTAAAATAAAAAAAAAACTTTTTTATATCATAAAAAGAAAATATTCATTTGTTGAAATGAAAAANTTTTTGTTGAAATGAAAGAAAATACTTTTTCTACATCATGAAAAGAAAGTACTTTTTTTGTTAAAATAAAAAAATACTTTTTATATTATGAACAAAAAATACTCATTTGTTGAAATGAAAAAAAAATCTATCAATAACATGAAAAGAAAGTCATATTAATAATATTTTTATTTAGGATGGGGTAGGAGTGAAGTGTGTGGGGTGGGTTGGTGGGGATCAGAGGCGGCTCAATCAATACGGTGGCCTAAAACAAAACTTTAATAAGAGGCCTAAGAAATATTCAATAAAAAAAATTACGTATATATTTTTATCGGAACTGAGAGTTTGAGAAAAACATGAAGAAGAAAAAAAAAATTCTGCTACTCAAATTATTCAATACCCTTGTTATTTGGCAGAATAGATAGATGAGCTAGTATGAGGAGAGAAAAAAGAGAATTTAATTTTATAAAGAACAAGAACTGATTTAGCTGAACATTGAAGAAAGGAAAAAAAAAAAATACTTTTTAGTCACTTGCTCACTGCCTCCCAATTAAAACACGAGAGCCTAAAACATGTGATTTATGTGAAGAAAAATAAATAAACTCGAATAGTTTTAATTATTAGATATATATGACTGAATTACTACATCTACAAATAATAAAAATTTAGTTTTACAAAATTTATTTTTTGATATAGTAGTACTAATTTTGAGGCCTTAAAGTATTGGGAGCGTAAAGCAAGTGCTTGACTTGCTTTAGGCTTGAGCCGGCACTGGTGGGGATGGGGTAAAGAGTGGGAAAGGATGAAAAAGAGTTTTGGAAGATATTTTTTCTTTTCTTGGTAGGGAAAATATTTTCTTCCAATTGAAGGAAAATGAGTTCATGGAAAAAAAATATTTTTCAAAATATTTAAGCCAATCATACATGAAAAAATTAAAATATATTTTTCGAAAAATATTTTCCTTCGTACCAAATGCACCCTTAGTCTCATTTCCCTTACGAAGAAATCAAGTGCTGAGGGTTCAGATGGTGTTCACTTGCTCCCATATTACTTTATAGAGAGGGTACTCATTGTGTGGCAAAAGTTAAAACTCCATATGGCTGGATCGTGCAGTAATTCATCTCCTCTTATATTTTTCCAAGATGGATGTCGGGTCTAACCCATTTAAGCCATGTCGCTGTGAATGATGCTGAGCCCGTGGGTCTTCTTTTGTGCCTATTGCTAAAAATTAGGCCGGTTTGGCCTTTTCAGAACCATCGTTTATATTTTGATTCTGTTAAGAAACTTTTGATAAAATAGCTTTGCTATTAAAATTTTGAAGTTGCTGCCAGAACTTTGAAATGCTACCAAAATTTTCCTATATGGAAAACTCTGACGATTGCATCTTTTGTTACAAATCCTGATGATCGCCATATAAAATATTTTGGTGATTGTCATGGTTTATGACAAATTTGGTGATCACCATATGAATATTCTAGTGATTGATATGTTTTTATGGCAAATTCTGATAATTATATATATAAAAAAATTGTAATAGTCAGGAGCGCTTCCCATAATTCCAAGAAAGGCTATTTTCCCAAAACTTTTCTTATCGGGGTCACAATAATAATAATAATAATAATACCGAATTATCCTATTTTTATCATTCCATGCCCCAAGTCTTCGTAAAATTTTCATGTGGCATCCAATTTTGCACCACTCATCAAATTTGTACCCACTTTTTTTAAAAAAATAAAATTAACTAGTACGTAATTTAGGGGTAACTGTCATGACCCGAAATTTCCACCTTCGAGACTGTGATGACGCTTAACATTTCACTTGCTAGGCAAGATCACGTTAGAGTAATTCTTTTACAAATTTTAAACAATTGGAACAATTTAACCAATCAGACAGAAATGAAGCTAAAATGAAGTATGAAATAGCATAATAATCCAATTATATTACAACCCGGATCTGGAGTTACAAGTACACGAGCTTTTAAAGTTTCTACAAATAGGGTTTGATATAAGTACAATCGTCTCGAATGAAATCTATATTATATTAAAAGTGGGAAGATCTTAAGTTAAAAGTTAAATTACAAAAATGCTCTTATATATATATATTCCTTAACTAATTTTTTTTTATTTATAAAATACAACACCGATTAGCTTATTCTCAACTAGAAGAATTGACACGGTTGAGCACATTTGACTGTCATTGCATAGACGCGTACCTTGGCAGCACATATACTACACGAGTGTTGGAACAAAGAGTTTAAAAATTACTGTTGGTTTATTGGAAGTTTAATCATCAACAAAGGACATGCTATTCATTATTTCTATTCTTACGCGGAATTTAAGAAACCTAATTGCATCTTGAAATGAGGGACTTAGGAATATATTGACCAATCACATATCATTTAGAGCATGATTTATGACTCAAAAATTATTTTCTATACGGGAAACTATGCCAATGGGATGAATAAAGACAGAAATGACGACAAATTCTGGTTTTATATTCTTTTATTACTTTACTCATTTTAAATTTAATTTCTATCCTATGTGATTTATATAATTCAGTTTTTACAAAAATTAAAGTAGATACTAATTATGTGTTGATATCAAAAACAAAATTACATCATGTGGTGATTGGGAGTAATATATGTTTAAGGTTTGTTTCGCCAAACATTTTACCAAATGACATTGTTTGTTGGTATACAATTTGGTTGCATGTATCAAATGTGTGAAAGTGATTTTCAAAGTTGTAAGACACGAGTTACAAATTTACACTATTATTTGAGATCATGAAAATGATATATTAAGTATGTATATTATTCTAAGTCAATAAAAATGTACGGTCATTCGTTTAATCAGAATAAGCAATTGAATTTTAATATGTTTCAGATTACAAAGGATTAGTTGAAAATTTATTGGAAAAGAAAATTATCAAATCCTACAAAGTAATAGAGGAGTTGAATACTTTTCGACGAAGGATAAAAGATGCATAAAGAAAAGGAAATTTTGAACAGAAAATAAAAGTAATCTAAAATAATCCTACATTGAGAATTAATAATATAATAATTCAAGATTAAAATATGTTAAATGTAGACATATTTTAATACATTAATTGAACAAGAGTATAATAACTCTGGACAATATGTAGTATAAATCGTAGTTATTCTTTCAATAAAAGAATATAAAATCTCCTATTGAGTCTACGAGGAGTCAAAGATAAGTTAGAAAGAAGAAGAACCTAGATACTTAATTTTGCGGTTCTCTAGCAATAATTTTCTTGGTTGACGGAAGTGGAGAAGAGGTACTTACTAATTAAAATATTTATTTTCTTGAATCTAGATGAGGACTCATAAGCCATTTAGTGAAGAAATAGCTTCAAGGATTAATTATGCATCCCAGAAATGAGAAGAAAGAAATTAATTGGTCAAATAAAATATAGAGAAGAATATCATTCTATGAATTTATTCAATCTCCAAAATAGTAGCATGTAAAATTTGATAATGGTGATATATCTTCTATTCTTAAATATTAATTATTAGTTTTATATTTATTGACATGCTTTCTTAATAAAGTATTACAGGTATCAATGAATATAAAATTTACATATTTACATGATTCATTCATTTATGATAAGGTTATGGTTCTTATAATAAGATCCATTTGAGGAAAGATTTATCTTTGATTTGATATTTAGTTAGATGAATGAGATAACATGCTAAAAGGTTAACGACAATAATATATACGTTTGAAATACCTGATTTGCATTGCATTGCATTGTTTATTGTTATGATAATCGGTCATAGTTACGTTGTTGCCTTGCGGGAGAAGACAATTGCCTCTTTCCATCTTTAACTCACGGGAGCATTTGGTGCTTTCGTGCACCACTTACTGCATCATTGTCTTTATTTTTCTTTTCATATATATACTACTCCATTATTAAATTTGGTGATTTGATGCTTCAGGACAGATAACATTGTAACAAAATACTTGTGTTCTTAAGTTTCGGACAGAAAAGTCCTACTCCTGCATTGGGAAACTTGGCAACACATGTATAAGCATGCATGATATTGCTTCTCTGGCTTATAAGACTATTCGCAATTAGATTCGACTAATCTTGTGATATACCATAGAAAACCAAAGTGTATCTTTATATATATATATATATATATATATATATATATAT